CTTATTGTACGGTCACTACCCAAAGCTCGTGACGATAGATTTTTCCACCGTGGTTCACAGCTGAGTGTGAGGCAGCTGGGATAAGAGTCAGCTCCTCTAAATCCGAGACCATGGTCTTGAGTCAGAGAAGGGTAGAATACCTTCTCCAGGTCAGGAATGAGGTCCTGCTTCAAGGGGAGGAGTTTAAGTGACTCGATGCAATCTGCTGGGTTCTCCATGGAGGAAACATTTTACTGACTGGCTTAACGAACTAAACTGTATTGGAATGTTTACTTTGTGAAGTGCCTTGAGACGACTCTTGTCATTATTTGGCGCTATTTAAATAAACTGAATCGAATGGATGTGAATTAAGTATCTCAGGGTCTTGTTCTCATAAAGTCGATTTTTTCAAATGCAACTAAGCTCAACTCTTCTTCAAATAAACAATAAATGTACCTCTTGGTCTAGTTGGAACGTAACTATTGACCGGTTCTTATATGTAACACCAACCACTATCAAAAAGATTGGTTCTGAACTGTGTTCTGGGCAGAATGTTGTTGTATTTGGATCAAGTGTTCCTGTAAAGTAAATAATCATTTCCTGTTGTTAAACATTTACAGGGAACCGGAAAGATGTTTTCAAGGAATTTCTCAAATGTAACTTTAAATAGGAAGGACAGACAGCTTCAAAGCAAATGCATGAAAACCTATTCTTTATGGCTCTAGGTGAATACAGAATTGTGCTGCACAGAACAAGTGTGTCACATACGTTCATGTTGTCACTGGAGTCCCCAGAGTGGCTCTTTCAACAATACATTCACTGATTCTGTATAGATAAAGAGAATTTGACTATATCTGTCATCTATTTATTTCTATTTTCTCTGTTTTAGTGTGTTTAATTGGAACATCTTGAATGTTAAAAAGACTTTAGTGTTGAAACAACAGAAGATCTGCCCAAAATGTTAATTGCTGTCAAGTTTTTGACTAAAGAGGCAGCATGTGGGATTATTTAAAAGAGGAAGCGTGGGTGAAAAGGTCTACATGTCTGAGCCAAAGGACTTAAAAGCTCCAGGGTCAGAGGGTTATCTTCACTTCCACTCAACACGTTATTTCCATCCAGCAGCTTGGGAGATGCCATGGTTTGGCCAACTTGCTGGTTCAAACGTAACCGGCCCCGTTAGAAAACGTGCTCTAATTTTCATGATGGCAAACATCCATGAGTGGCTCAGCGCTCGCTGCTCCACACACTCAAAAGGCCACGACACACCAGAACAGAACGACATGGTGGGAACAGGGGAGGAAAAATGATGCTGAGGATGAAAACCTGCATGACTCTCAGTCATTTCTTGCATCTTTCTTTAATTTTAATAGACAGGTGGAGAAGACATTAAACTCCATAGGGGATGCATTAAACGCTCACAGCTGCATGAAGCCGTGGCCTGGATGTGGTTATTGTTTGGACTTCAGCTGCTGCTGTGGTTCAGCCTGTGGTTTTACATTTATGTCCAGCTGCTCCACCACTTACAACCATCGTACCACAGGAGTTCGGTGGTGCAGAATGTGTGACAGCAGGAACATGGACAGCTGTGTCATCTCAAACGTGCAGTACGATCGGTCAGTAAGAGCGATGGGAAGCACATTCTGATCCAAAATGGTGTGCACGCTTGTGTCTGAGCAGTCGGAGCTGAGTGAGTCTCACTGCAGGCAGCAGACTACTGTAAAACAAGTTAACGTATCAAATTACAGCTCTGACTCTCTACGGAAATGAAAATGTTATTGCAAAAGTGACAGGGAGAAAGGCTAACAGATGAGAAGTAAAAGTAGCCTTCAAAATCTTTATGTGAGCTGCTGGTCTTACTTCTCTAATGGTCCACTGTTTTTGAGGATGAATGAATTCAGGAAAACTTAAGTTTTACTAAATATTTATTAGCATTTTGGTACACTTACCCAAAGTTTTGTTCAAGCACTTGGCTTTTTTGTTGTTGGTTATCATCGCTGTTCTAATGAAGGCTTTAGATCAGTTTAGATCAGAAGAAAACCGTTTTTTCCTTCAGAACCCCCTTATCTGTGTCCACAACAAGCCAGGACCCCCCGATCCCAGCTCCTACCAACATACACACATTACAGTGATTAAAAGCAAACTTTTTACAGACAGACACAGACATAACTGTGGAGTTTGATTATACTATTGTGTGTGTTGTTGGGATTTTTATGAATGTAACTTTTACAAATATAACAGTGGTAATTGGAGCACTCAGGTGAGTAAAGTTTTTAATTGATGCAAAATCAAAATACTACAAACTAACATTTCAATGCCAAATGAGTCAGAGTTAAAGAGTGCACTGATTAAAAACTTTACTCACCTGAGTGCTCCAGCTCCCCTACTTTCTTCCTTTGACTGTCCTCTAGCTGTGTGAGCAGCGGTGCAGTGGATGATGTGCAGAGCACCGCATTTGACATAATATTGGAAACCTCAGCACTGACAATCTTGTGGGGGCCTCCTTGGGGGTCATGGACCCCAGGTTCAGAACCACAGGTTCAGAGGATGAGTAACTTATCGGTTCGGGTGATGACTTTGGAATTCTGAACGTACTAATGAGTAGTAAAGACTGCATGGTTCAGGACGGGTTTATTATTAGATTTTGGGATTTTTTAAAATGCATTAAAGGGTTAAATGCATTACATTTTCAAATAAGCCACTTTCCAAATAAATATAGAGATGAATCAGTCATTAAATCAGTCATTGGATCAGGTATGCTGGAGCATGTAAACATGTGGGCGACGGTGGCACAGGAGTTAAGTGTTCGCCCCGTAATCAGAAGGTTGCAGGTTCGAGCCCCACTCAGTCTGTCGCTGTTGCTGTGTCCTTGGGCAAGACACTTAACCCTCCGTGCCTGCTGGTGGTGGTTGGAGGGGGCGTTGGTGCCTGTGCTTGCCTCTGTCAGTGTGCCCCAGTGCAGCTGTGGCTACATCGTAGCTCATCGCCACCAGGGTGTGAATGTGTGTGTGAATGGGTGAATGACTGATTGTGTTGTAAAGCACCTTGGGGGGTTCCGGGACTCTAGATGGTGCTATATCAAATACAGGTCATTTACCATTTAAAGCATGCAGGGCAGTGGGCCTCAGGGACAAGAACATAGACCGGGTATAATGTAGACTGGCAAGACTGGCAAGTCATAAAGTTTGGCCATGACCCATGGACAGAGCTTGGCCTTAAGGTGGAATCTATGATTGTCTTTTAAACTGTCTTCATTAGACAGTGTTATGACCAATCAGAGCAACTAACGTAATAATCGCCATGGAAATTGGTCAACAGGACATTCCACCTTACACCATCGCAGAAGATGAAGAAGAAGAAGAAGAAGAAGAAGATGGTGATGATGATGATGATGATGATGATGATGAAGCAAATATATCTTTTTTTTTAAATAAAGGACTCAAGTATCTGCTCATGTCTAAAAAAAGCCTTAAGTCTAAATCATCCAACGTTGAGGCCAAAGCATTGTTCCTGAGCTGGCGCCATCTTTGTAGTTTTTCTCTATTGCAGCTCCGGTGCTAAGCCTGCCCAACAAATGTAGAGTGCTGTGATTGGTCCAACCTAAAATTGTTTGGGCCAACGGTAGACCTGCTCAGGCTACAATGGAGCCTGTCTAGGGTTAGGGTTGGGCCAACAGAGCTAAATCCTTGGCTACTGCTATGATTGGTCTAGATTTCTATGCTAAGTATAATGCACTTAATATTAAATAATAATAATAATAATAACAACAACAACAACAACAACAACAACAATAATAATAATAATAATAATGCATTGAACTTATATAGCGCTTTTCTAGACACCCAAAGACGCTTTCACACACTCTCACATTCACACACTGCTAGTGATGGTAAGCTACTTGTAGCCACAGCCGCCCTGGGGAGGTCTGACGGAGGAGAGGCTGCCATTTGGCGCCATTGGCCCCTTTGACCACCACTAACACAGGCAAGTTGGGTGAAGTGTCTTGCCCAAGGACACAACAGCAGGATACCCCTGGCGGGAGCTGGAATCAAACCCATGACCCTCCGATCATGAGGCAACCCGCTCTACCACCTGAGCTACTGCTGCCCCGATGAGTCTGATTGCCTTATAAATAATAATAATAATAATAATAATAATAACAACAACAACAACAACAACAACAATAATAATAATAATAATAATAATAATAATAATAACAACAACAACAACAACAACAACAACAATAATAATAATAATAATAATGCATTGAACTTATATAGCGCTTTTCTAGACACCCAAAGACGCTTTCACACACTCTCACATTCACACACTGCTAGTGATGGTAAGCTACTTGTAGCCACAGCCGCCCTGGGGAGGTCTGACGGAGGAGAGGCTGCCATTTGGCGCCATTGGCCCCTTTGACCACCACTAACACAGGCAAGTTGGGTGAAGTGTCTTGCCCAAGGACACAACAGCAGGATACCCCTGGCGGGAGCTGGAATCAAACCCATGACCCTCCGATCATGAGGCAACCCGCTCTACCACCTGAGCTACTGCTGCCCCGATGAGTCTGATTGCCTTATAAATAATAATAATAATAATAAAATGAATGGTTTAGATTCTTTCAAGTCAAAAACGACACTTATCCAGAAACATTTCTGCTGTAGTCGGATATATCTCAGTTCAGAGAATCAGTGAGAATTTCTAACTCAGGCGTCTAGCTAACAGCTGAAGTTGGATGAGTCAGTTATTCCAAAGATACCAGCCATAGTTTGTTTTGCATTTTTATGCTCAAGTGATTGCTTCAGCAATTGTGAAAAATTTGCCTTCAGCTTGACTCCAGAAGAATTGACCTGATTCTCTAAAATGAGATCACTCTGATTTCTGATGATCACTCGCAGACCAAAACACTTTCCCACTGAAACGAAAAACAATCACTGAAACGTCTTGAAGACAATTCTGACAATCAGCGATGAGAAATCACATACCCATTATTACACTGTGGGATCAAACGTGTGACTTACCAACCCATCACAATTACTGATGGCCACGGAGGCATCTGGCATGTCAGTCACATCCCCAGTGAAAACACAGTCCCTGTGGATGCGTTCCTTGGCCTTCTCTTCAAAGTCCTCCTGCCATTCAACAAAAGCCCCTGGGGCCACCAGCCTCCGGTTGGCCCTCAGGCGAAGGTGAAGTTCTTTTCCAAACACAGTGACGTTGAAAAACAAGTGCTGACCTGAGTGAGGGGTGACCGAGGGCATCTCTGGGGCACTGCGGGCCACCCTTCTTCTGTTGCCAGGAGCAGAGGGATTTTCAGTAGCAGCAGCAGCGTTTTTACTTCCACTTCCAGCAGAGAGCACGTGAGAAATGTACCGGCCATGGGAGTCTGTGCTGAATGGCACAATTAGACCGTATTCACTCAGTTTTTCTGATGGAACACAAAAAAAATAAAATAAAATTGTTGTACAAATATTAAAGACAAAGCAGTCCTGATTGTTTCTTAAAGCAATGTGGGCAAAATGCAGAAATCAGTGGATATTTAACAACAATAAGGCAATCAGACTCATTCAAGTGTGTATTATCATATACGCATTTATGCACATATTTATCATAATTAAGGTTTTAAAAAGTCAAACCAAAGAAAAAGAGAATGCCCACCTTGTGTTTCTGCTGCTAGAATTTGCTCCAGAACAACTTGACTGAGGGACAAGCACATCAGTAAATACATACAATCCATAGCGACAGCTGGAGTGTGAGAGCGGACACTCCAACTTCTTTCTTTTTCTTGCAAACCTTGAGTCGTGTTCTCCTCTCCACGTCTTAAAGAAAAGAAAAGCAGAAACGCAGGAGAAAAGTTGCTCAGCGGAGTTGAGCTCGTGCGACGCGGCAGGGCATTTCTGAGCGCTCCCGTCTAGACAGCAGAGGCGCGGATCCTCACAAGTTGCTTCCAGTCTTTCGGCCTGCGCTGAACTGCATAAACCGAGTCTGCCCCGTCCATTTAGGGAGCCGAGCGCGGGGGGATAACTGGGGTCCTGATGACGACAGCTCCCCGGTAGAAGGACCAGGATGGTTTGAAGTAGTTGCCCACTTTTTCCTCCCCCCCTTTTCCCCCCCTCTCTCTCCCTCTCTTCCTCTTTCCTCTTCAAATAACTTTTAGTAAGTTAACATACGCCTATAAGGAGGGAGGAAAGAAAGAGTCTTGCAGGGTTCAGATGTAAAGACAGAGTGTCCCAGTGGTGGAACATCTGCCGCCCAGTCGCGCACAATTACGCACCGATGGCGCGGCGGCGGAACGGCTGAAGTACGGCGCACAGCGGGAGCGCATTCTCTCAGCCACACAGCCATCCAGTCAGGATAACTCATAGGACGTTATATCATCATATTAAGTGTGGAGAGAGAAAAAAGTTCTACCACCTCCTCCACGAACCTATACTTTTCTTTCTGTTACAGGGTGAAAACATCCAGATGCAGGGCACTGACTCACTCAGCATGTTTCCATTAGTCCACAAACACATGTTAGTGATAACATGACACTTAATCAAGGGAGGCATTCCTGCACTTCTCACTGACAGCAAAAAACAACAAGCCACACTTCAAAACAGCCAATAAACATAAAATATGAACATGGAAACATAAGATGTGTCTAAAATGGAGCGATAAAAGCACCTACAGCCAAAAAAAGGGAGAAAACCTGCATTTTGGATTAAATTTAGGAGTATTTTTAAAGTGTCACAATTGAATTTATTGCCATCATATTTACTTAAAAACAGAAAATAAACTGATGAAGTCTAAATAATAATAATAATTATTATTATTTATAATATGGCCTAATCCTGCAGATGTCACTGTGAGCATATATGCTCCCTCATTAGAAACAATCCCTGTGACATCATCAGGATGTGTGAAAACTCCCCAGCAGATCTCTCTGGGAGTTTTATTTATTATTATAATTTTTTTGGCTCCTACTCTCAGACATGACCATGCTGAGGCTGAACCAGCAGCTCCCTCTCTCAGTAGGAAGAGAAGGAGGTTGGGCTCCAATGAGTTTTGACTTTCAGGTGTTTTTTGTCAGCGAGACATAAGGTGTCTAGACTGGACATGCTTTTCCTTTTCCCCCAAGTTCCTAGAATGTGTCTAGGCCCCTAAATGACAGCTCACTACCTTTTATTTCCTCAATGTGTGGCTAATTAGCTGGAAGCTTCCAGGATGGTCAATGCAGAGCAGGTGTGGGCTGTGCAGTCATGGCCTTGGGGCGGCTGAGGGAGGATTGGTTGGTGAGCCGGGGCTGTGCATTAATAAGCAGTGGAAACTCACCACAGTATTAAGAGATGGAAACCATTAACAAACTCTGAGAAGTTTTATGCTGTTTTTCCATCCATACTGTTTGGACTTTTTTATTTTTGTCTCTAAAAGCCAGGAAGACATTCCACAATATAGCATAGTATTCAGTTGGAAGCTTTATTTTCTTTCCCCTTCAGAAATGAGTAGCTTGCCTCACAGTTTGTGGTTAAGTCCACACACAAGAACAATTTTCTACCACAGAACACTCTGTCCTTTACAACACAAGTAAGAGCAAAACATGATGCGTATTCTCCTTCTAAAATGAAGCCAAGCGCTTATGATTTGCAACAAAAGCTGAGGAATCACAAATTCTTCAGGAGAAAATACTTAAATACACTTTAGCGTTTTCCCTCAGAGGCTCCACACGTCGCTGCAGAAAGGCAAGCCTTTTTCCACACTCTGTGCTTCCAGCAGTGAGGAGAAGTTACAGTCCAAACTGTGAGAGTATGCATGCCTCAGTGTGTGCTGTAATGTTGTCTAGTCATGCCAGTGTACTGAGAAAATATGTGACTTTGCAGGAGATGCAAAGCAGCTGCTGGTCTGTCAGCAGTTAGAGGGCAGAGGAGCGTCTGTAGTTGAAAGGATTGTGAGATTTGAGGCAAAAATATTCTGGATTGGGATGCGTTTCATTTGTCGGGCTTTAGGAAGTATGATTTGGCTTGCAGTGGTGCGCGTGTGTGTCTCTTTTATTACAGCCTTTTGTACTGAGAGTAAGATCTGATTAATTGTCTGCAAATGAAGTGATGAAATACACTTTTTGTGAGTTTTATTTATACAAACAATAATTTATTCTAAAGCATCAACAGGGCAGCATGAGCTTGCATTTTCAGTTTTTAGTGTTTTATACTGTAAAATACCTGGTCTAGCTGCATTTAATTCAGCTTTTTTTTTACATTTACAGACTTTTAAATACATAAAATAGTCAGAAATGTTGCTGCCTGAAAGTTCCTCCCAATCCCCCCAAATTCAAACGGATTTACCAAAAGTCTATTTCTGATATACGTATAACTAACATTAATCATAAAAAGTAAACCTATAAAATGGTCATGGTGATTGTACCAGCAACGACTGAGGCTCCAAGGAACAACTCCCCTGAAGCTGTCTTTTTGTTGTTTTTCTGTTGGGCTGTTAGGCGCCAAAGAGCCATGTTAAAGAAAACAGGTGAGGCTTGGAGAAGGAAAAGGAAATTATTAGAAGACACTTTCTTTTTTCCACCATATTAATGTACTGCAAGACATTGGCGGTTCTAGAGGCGGGGCCACAGGGCCATTGGCCCCTGCTGAAATATGATTGGCCTCCTGTTCTGTCACTCATCTGTTCTGCTTCCGGTCGGCAACAAGATGGCGCCTGTACTTGGCTTAGCCGCAGTCACCGGCCACTTTTTCAAACTTTTCTCCACTAACCTCCTCTTTTCCACCTTGCTCCTGTCGGCGATCCTCTTCAGTAGTGTCCCTGCTACCATCTCCTATGATCGCCAGACTCTTATGTCCTTCCGCTCGTTCACGATCGCCCAAGATGCACCGAGGACGTATCATCCTGTTTGTTTACCTGAGCGGCGCACTGGCCCGGAGCCGAACGCCGATCACGAGCTGCGCACCTCCAGCTATGTTTGTCCGGTCCCGGGAAAACGTCGGAGGAAAAGAGGTAAACGAGCAGGAATCCAGGTGAGAATAAGACTTCTCTTAAAGCGTGGTTTATCTAGTAAACATCGGCGTGATCTTCTAGCTTCTTGTCCTTTGTTTGGTGACCTGAGCGCCACTTCCGCATTCCCGCCAGGCCGCGTTGGGATGCGGTTCATCCGTCCAAGTTTTTTAAGGTCGGTTTATCCTCATTCCTCAGTGGTTTCTCCTCCTGTTCCCTCCATAAGTGGTTTTTATAAACACCGTGGATCTAACTCTGCTAATTTACGTCCACTAACTCTAGCTGTTTCTGTAGTTTCTGATTCCTCCTCCTCACTCAGCATGGCTCTAATAAAGACCCGCTCTTCTAACAATAAGACTTTCTTGCTCAATGATTTAATTCTCTCTAAAAATCTGGATTTTCTGCTTCTGACTGAAGTTTGGCAGCAAACATCTGATTATTCTGGTCTGATTGAACTCTGCCCGAGTGGTTATTCTTTTCTTAGCCAGCCCCGTGGTTCTGGTCGTGGTGGAGGCCTAGCTGTTGCTTTCAGAGACCATCTTCCTTGTAGCTCTACAACCTCTGGTCACTTTGCTCCCTTTGAACTGCAGCTGATTAAAGTCGGGCGTAAGGACCCGTTCTACTGTGCTGTGGTTTATCGTCCACCTGGTCCAAAAAGTTCTTTCCTTCAGGAGCATAGTGACTTTCTGTCCTCCTCTGTGAAGCTGTCCAGACTGGTGATCGTGGGTGACTTTAACATCCATGTTGATGATCCCTCTGATCACTTTGCCATGAATTTCTCCAGCCTTATGGACTCCTTCGGCTTTACCGAGCATGTTTCTGGCCCCACACACACCAGGGGACACACTCTAGACCTTGTTTTTACCCTGGGTCTAAATGCTGACAGTGTTTGTCCTGAGAACGTTTATATTTCAGATCACCATTGCATTTTCTTTAACTTGTCAGTTTCTGCGACCCCACCTCCTGCTCGCCGTATGGTTAGTTCTCGTTTTCTTAATGAGAGCACAGCTAGCAATTTTTCTGCTGCTTTTGATTCACCCTGTTCTTCTGATAACGACCCAGATTCCTTAACTTCTCAGTTTAACGAGCACTGCCTCTCCATTCTGGACAACATCTGTCCTGTCAGAACCAGATCAGTTCCTGCAGTGAACCCTACTCCCTGGTTTAATGACAGCCTTCGCAGCCTAAAGCGCCAGTGCAGAAAAATTGAGCGTTTGTGGAAGAAAACCCATCTCCACGTCCATCTCCTGCACCTAAAGGATCTTCTGACATCCTTTAACTCTGCAGTCAGAGATGCTAGGGTTTCCTATTTCTCCAACCTGGTGTCCCAGAGCAAAGGGAACCCCAAGGTGCTGTTTAACACCATCAGCAGCATCGTCTCTCCTGCCTCTCCTACAGCCTCCATCCACACTGTTGCAGACTGTGAGAACTTTCTGTCTTTATTTGTGGACAAAGTCAATAAGGTTAGATCTAGCATCTCTCCTTCAGCCTTATCGCTGCCTCTCCTGACTCCAACCAGGCCCATCATCCTAGATAGCTTTGCTCCTGTTTCTTTGCCTGAGTTAACGAAACTAGTTAACTCTATGAAGACCTCTGCATGCCCCCTCGACATCTTACCCTCATCTTTGTTTAGAAGTGCTTTTCAGTCCATCTGTCCCAGCGTGCTGTCTATAATTAATTCTTCTCTGGTCACTGGTCAGGTCCCTGCTTACTTTAAGAACGCTGTAATCCACCCGCTTCTTAAAAAACCGAGTCTCGACCCCTCTCTCCATAGCAGCTTCAGACCCATCTCCAAACTTCCGTTCATCTCCAAGATCTTGGAAAAGGTTGTGGCTAAACAACTCACAGCTGCTTTTGATGAACATAACATCTATGATAGCTTCCAGTCAGGTTTTTGTAGAGCTCATTCTATTGAAACAGCTCTTCTTAGGGTCTCTAATGACCTTCTGACTCACAGTGATGCAGGGGACTGTTCTGTTCTGGTCCTGCTGGACCTGACTGCAGCCTTTGACACTGTTGACCATCACCTGCTACTGGAGAGGCTGAGAGACTGGGTGGGCCTATCAGGATCTGCTCTGGAGTGGTTCTCCTCTTATCTCTCTGAGTGCTCCTTTTCTGTGGCCGTCTCC